GCTGAGCGCCCTTTCGCCTGCCCGATCTGTGGCCGCAGCTTCGTCATGGCTGCCTACCTGCAGCGGCACCTGAGGACGCATGCCCCCGCCAACACTGCTTCCGGCCCCGCAGCCCCGCCTGCCGGCCCCCCGCCTCCTGCCCCACTGGCTGCCGCCCCAGCCCCCTCTGCCACCCAAGATGTCCACGTCCTCCCCCACCTCCAGGCCACACTGTCCCTGGAGGTGGCAGGGGGTACGGCCCAGGCCACACCCCCGGGCCCAGCAGCCCCCAACTCCCAGACGTTTCTCCTGGTGCAGACTGCCCAGGGTCTCCAGCTGATCCCCAGCAGCGTCCAACCCTCCACACCCCCGCCCCCACCTGCACCCCCCAAGCTCATCTTGCTGCCCTCCTCCAGTACTGGTGGTGGGGGCAGCCATGCCAGGCAGGGCCCACGAGCTGTGGGGAAAGCTGGTCAGGGGGCTGGAGTAGTCTGGCTGCCAGGCCCTGGAGGGTTAGGGATGCAGGGAGGGAGCAACACCGGGGCCAGCACGGGAGGGCAGAGCCTCATAGTTCTGCAGAATGTGGGGGGTGGGGAGACAGGGCCGCAGGAAGTGAGTGGGGTCCAGCTCCAGCCCCTTCGGTCAGCCCCAGAACTGACCACGGTCCAGATCCAGCCAGCCCAGGAGGTGACCACGGTCCAGCTCCAGCCAGCACAGGAGGTGACCACGGTCCAGCTCCAGCCAGCACAGGAGGTGACCACGGTCCAGCTCCAGCCTGTGGCAGGTCAGCTGTCCAGTTCCAGTGGCGGAGCCGTGACTACTGAGGCCCCTAACCTACTGGTGGTTCAGAGTGGGGCAGCCGAGGAGTTGCTGGCAGGCCCTGGCCCCGGGGAGCCTGGTGATGGTGAGGCCAGCACTGGTGTGGTCCAGGATGTGCTCTTTGAGACCCTGCAGACGGATGAGGGGTTGCAGAGCGTCCTGGTGCTGAGCGGGGCTGATGGGGAGCAGACCCAGCTGTGTGTGCAGGAAGTGGAGACCCTACCCCCAGGGCTGGCTGAGCCGCCAGCGCCTGGCCCACAGGGACAGAAACTGCTCATTATCCGCAGTGCTTCAGCCACCGAGCTGCTGGAGAATGGCAGCGTTGGGGGAGGTGCAGCCGCGCTGCAGCTGCTGGCCCCACCACCACCTAGCCCGGCCTCTGCTCCGGTGGGCCTCCCTGCGGCTCCTGCCTCCCAGATGGTACAAGTGGTCCCTGCAGGAGCTGCACCTGGTGGCATGACCTCACAGGGTCTACCCTCTATCCAGATTGTCCAGACTCTGCCCGCAGTCCAGCTGGTGCACACGTTTTGACTAGAGCCACTGTTACCTCTTCCTGCCCTACACAGAGACCCGGACGCACTGTCCACCATGGCTAAGCTAAGATCGGGGGAGGGGAGCTGCAGGCTGGACTTGCTAATAAAGACCAGAATCTCCTCTCCTGTGTTTTTGTTTTATTAGTGGGGTAGGAGGTCAGTATTAAGACTCATCTCTTGCTTCCTGGTTCACAGGTGACTTGCTTTGCGTCTTGGGGCCAGCCACTTCTGTGTGGGGTTCTGTTTGTCCTTAAAAAAGGGGGATGCAGTGGTCACTGTACAGGGAGGCATTGGAATCTAGAATCCTGGTTTTGTCACTTGTTCCCTGTAAGTCACCCCACCCATCCCCTCACGAAAAAACGGGTGGCTGACAATGCTTACCCTTAAGGTCACTGAGAGCCCGGGTGGGTTGGGGTGGGTGAGTTTGGGAGCTAGAGAGCTCAGGATGCGACGCGGCCCCTCCCACGAAGGCCCGGGAGTCTGAGAATTGATCCATTCCCTTCGTCGCCCCGCCCACCCCCGCGCTCAGGTTGCTCAGCAACAAGGGGACTTCCGGAAGCTAGCTGGCTTTCAGCGCGTGCGGTTAAGTACCGCTCCTCGCCCCCACCCCTCCGGGTCTACTGATCCCATCCTCTCCCTCCTGCCCTCTACCCCGCCAGCGTCCGTGCGGGTCTTCCTGCCGGCCCCCTTTCTCCATTGCTCCCCCTCTACCTCACGTCCGTCGGGGTCGCGGCTCCCTGCCCTGGTCTAGCCCCAGCCCAGGCAAGACTTCCCCCACCCGCCTCCAGAAGTGTGACAACAGTTGCTAAGGCCGGGTGCAGGCCCCGCCCCGCCCCCCGCAGCGCGCGAGTCTGACGTCACTTCCTCCGGCGACCCCTTCCCGACCCTGCCCCCCCAACCCCTTGTCAAAAGCAAAGCGACTCGCAGAGGTGCTTGCAGGTCCTACTTCCCGCGACGCCGTTCGGGGGTGGTTGGGCACAGAGAGGCTCTGGGCACTGAGGGGTCAGGAGCGCAGTCCCTTCCCCAGGAGCCTGGGAGGGAGCCCCGTGTTGCCAGTTGTTGGCGTGCACGGGCCGTTCAGGCGTAGATCGCTGAACCGTACGGAGGGCCTGGGGGCATCCCGGGAGACTTCAGAAAGATCGTTGGGTTGGGAGGAAGCCTGCCCTGTCTCGACCCTCGCCTGGGGGCCGGGAGCGTCCTCAGTGACCTATCTTGGACATGCTGCTGCTTGTCCGCAGCTCTGGGGTGCTTTGGGCACCAGAGGTGCCCTCCTGACGCTGACCTGCTTGTTTTCGCCAGGTGCACGCCTGCTCCCTTGGGGGCGCGGGAGCCTGGGGGCTGCAATGGCCCCCAGCCACTTGTCGGTGCGGGAGATGAGGGAAGATGAGAAACCCTTAGTGCTGGAGATGCTAAAGGTGAGAGCGGGCAGGGGCGTCAGTGAGCCTGGGACCCGGCGCCTGTGAACCTGGGTGGGTGGAGGGTACCGGTGAGGGGGGCGGGGACACCAGGGAGCCTGGGAACGGGGCGGGGGCAGAATGGGGGACCAATAAGCGTGGGGGGGGGGCGGGGACACCAGAGAGCCTGGGAGGGGCAGGGCCGGCCTAGTGAGTGGCTTCACCCGCCTTCCTGAGGCAGCCCTGACTCCTGGGGAGCCGCCTTTTCCTCTTAAGAGACTTACTAGCTTGGCCCTTTCTCTCTCTCTCGTACCTTCTCCCTATCCTGGGGGGCAAGAAGGGTTTTAACAGCTGGAGGGCTGTGGAGTCGATGGCATACCAAGTCTTTCCGTATTCTGCCCACTTCCAGTCTGCTTTACACCCCAACTTCCTGCTCTTCAAAGCAGAATCCCTGGGCCTCAGCTTGGCATTCGAATACCCATAGTCCCCCTCTAGCGTCCTCTCTTGCTGTCGAGAGCGTGCTGCTACTCTGGCTTGGGGCATTTCCTCTATTCAGCCTTCCCCGGTGCCCCGCACCTGCACCTGCACTGAATGGGGAGCCCCACAGCTCCTAATTCACCCATTCACTCACTCAAAGCCCGGTGTGCCAACCCTGTGTTCCCTCATGTCCACAGCAGATGTGGTCCTAGCCCCTCTGCCACAGGCCCCAACTCAATGCCTGCCTGCCTTCGCCTCTAGCAGCCCCCACCCCGGATCCCTCCTGGTCAGTGTCGGCCTCCTCTCCTAGTCCCTGCTGCGCCTGGGAGCCCCCCAGTCTGACTGTTCCTCCCGCCCACAGGCCGGTGTGAAGGACACGGAGAACCGCGTGGCCCTCCACGCCCTGACACGGCCGCCAGCCCTGCTCCTCCTGGCGGCAGCCAGCAGCGGCCTGCGCTTCATCCTGGCCTCCTTTGCCCTGGCCCTCCTCCTGCCCGTATTCCTGGCTGTGGTGGCCATGAAGCTGGGCCTGCGGGCCCGGTGGGGCTCACTGCCCCCACCGGGCAGCCTCGGGGGCCCCTGGGTGGCTGTGAGGGGCTCGGGCGATGTGTGCGGGGTCCTGGCCCTGGCCCCAGGCTCCAATGCTGGTGATGGGGCCCGGGTCACCCGCCTCTCTGTCTCTCGCTGGCACCGCCGCCGAGGCGTGGGCAGGCGGCTGCTGGCCTTTGCTGAATCCCGGGCTCGAGCCTGGGCGGGCAGCATGGGGGAGACCCGGGCCCGGCTCGTGGTCCCGGTGGCTGTGGCGGCGTGGGGTGTGGCAGGGATGCTGGAGGGCTGCGGCTACCAGGCCGAGGGGAGCTGGGGCTGCATGGGCTACCCGCTGGTGAGAGAGTTCGGCAAGGACCTGTGACTCCACAGCCCAGAGGGAGGAAAACCAACGCTTAGTGAGCATGTGCTGTGTGCAGGCACTTTCACAGCCTCCTTCCTTCTGTGGATTCCCCAGCCCACCCGGGGCCCAGAAACAGGCCCGCAAAGGGCAGGAGACCCCACCACAGCCTGACATCTGTCTGTAGCGTTTGAACTTCTCAGAGAGGTCGACCTGTCCAGCCCCTGCCTCAGGTTCTGTCTGCACTGAGAAATTTCCCCGTCTATCTGTCTGTCTGCCAGGCCATTGCCATTCGTGCTGCGGGCCTGGGAGAGATACGAGGTGGGAGGGGAGGAGGCCCCTCCACCAGGGTTAGAGCTTGCTGCAGGGGCAACCCAAGCGGGGAGCAGACCCCCAGGAATGGGGTGGGGATCGATGCCTGTGCTTGGAGGGGTTGAGGCTGCAGAGGCAGAGAGGAGGTGAGCGGAGCCTTTGCTGAGGAGGGTTGTCTGTGTAGAGAGCCCCGGGGTGGGGGGTTAGGCACAGGGTTGCCCAGCTAGCCCCTCCCCGGAAGGTGAGAGCCGGGAGGGGCGGCAAGACCCATCTGGTTTTTTACACCGGTTTGCTAATAAAGCCTGAAACTGCTGTGCGCCTGTCTCCCTCTCTCTGATGCCTTTTCCAGTCTGTCTCGGAACCCCTCCTTCTGTCTGGCTCCTCCTTTCCCGGGGTTGACATTAATTGTCAGCGGTAGGGGTTCTGGACTGGGAGCAGGGGAGGCAATGAGCTCACTTCAGCCCCGCTCCCTGCCAGCGCTCTGACTCACGCTCCCCATTACCGAATTTTTTCCGCCTCACAGCTGCTTAGTGCAGTGTGTGTGTGTGTGTGTGTGTGTGTGTGTGTGTGTGTGTGTGTACCTCCCTCC